CTACCAGAGCTCCTTCAACACATAGAATACACAGTAATAAAATAGATTACGTTTATGGAAAGAAATGGTGGAACAGCTCCATATCATCACTCAAAACAAGACTGTAGAACATACCAACAATTGCTCATAGGCAAATTCAGAAGAAAATTAAAATAATTCCATGAGAAACAAAATATGACATTAAATATATCCCAGAAAGTTCCATGGATTGTCAGAAGAGCAACAAATCTGCCTTAGAAATACAGCCAGAATACTCATTAGGAAAGAGGATAGTGAGTCCTCATTTCAAGTACTTTGCAAATGCTATGAGAAGGGATCAATCCCTGGAGAAAGACACACTTGAAAAAGTAGAAGGATGTAAAAGAGAAAAACACTCAACAACATAGATTGACACAGTGTGCTGCTATTATTTCTTTGCCAAAACATAATATGATGACTATCTATTAGAATTTAAGTCAGGTACCCTAAATTAAGAACTCTGGGAGCATAGTGGTAATGAGTTGGGCTGCTAACCTGAAGGTCAGCAGTTCAAAACTATCAACTGTTCCAGGGGAGAAAGATAAGTCTTTCTGCTCTTATAAAGATTTACAGCCTCAGAAACTCTATACAAGGTCGCTATGAGTCAGAACTGACTCCAAGGCACACAACCACTACCAACCTGAAGTTAGAAATAAACAAGAACATTGATTTTGAAGCATTTCCAACTCAATATAATCAAAGTGGGAATGCCTTGAAATAATTATCTTATAGCTTTCCTGAATAGAGTTACTTTTCTTCTCATAATTCTCCTTATAGCCCCCTTCATCTGCTTATTTCTAAGACTATAGATAATAGGATTCAAGAAAGGAGGAACTATGGAATAGAACACAGAAATGATCATGTCCTGGGTTGAAAGTGAGTTGGATGCTGGCTTCAGATACACAGCAGCACCTGAACTGAGAAAGACTGTAACTATGAGGATGTGAGGGATGCAGGTGGAAAAGGCCTTACCTCGTTCTCCTCTGGTTGGAAACTTGAGCACAGTAGAAAATATGTGAATATAAGACATGGTGATGAAGGAAAAGCAGCCACCGCCTATCATTATTATAGAGACAAGAATTACAATCTCATTGCCTAAGGTGTCAGAGCAAGAGATTTTCAGCAGGAAGTGAATGTCACAGAAAAACTGATGGATCACATTGGACTGACAAAAGGACAAATGGAATGTGTTGCCAGTGTGCACACCTGCGTAGACCAGGCCACCAAGCACAGAAGCCAGGGTCATCTGGACACAAACATGAGGGTTCATGACCACGTGGTAGTGGAGGGGCTGGCAGATGGCCACATAGCGGTCACGGGCCATGACAGTGAGTAACAGCAACTCTGTAGAAGCACATAAAAACATGAAGAAGATCTGAGTTGCACATCCAACTTTGGAGATCACCCTGTTGTTAAATAGGAAGATGACACATGCCTTGGGTACAATGACAGAAATGTAACACATGTCCAGGACAGACAGATTCCGAAGAAAGAAGTACATTGGGGTATGAAGACTCTGGTCAGTGGTGATTATTGTGACTATGAGAAAGTTCCCCGTTAAAGTAGCCAAGTACATCAGTAGAAATAGCATGGTGTGCAAGACTCTGATCTCCCACACATCAGAAAATCCTGTAAGTAGGAATTCAGTCACTATGGTAGAGTTAGACATTTTAGAAGTATTTCATTAGGACTTGGAGAGTCAAAGGAGAGTAATTCCTAAAAGGTATGAAGAATCAAAATGATGAACTTAATTAGCCTAAGTATATTATTAAATTCCCTTTAATTAATTTTATTCTCTGCAGTCGGTAATATTTAGTATAAAATATGCAAATGTTGACTCACATGCCTTTAGTCTCTTTGATTGTGTAACTTATTTCTAGGTAGCAAAAAAATATAAAATTTAAGTTTGTTCCCCTGTTGAGATCCATTTCTGTCATTGATTTGTGGTGCAATATGTTTACTGGAAGTCAAAGATATTCCTGACAAATTTGTTGAGTTAACATAGGTAATTTCTATGTATGTATATAATTTTTAGACTAAATGTAGATATCTGTAGTTGGTGACCAAACAGAATTTGAATGTGATAAGAGGCTGTAATTTTATCAGAATATCTAAAAGTGTTGTAAGTAGTTTAGTCCATTTTCTGCCTAGAAGGGGAAAAAAATATTTTTATCTCCACTTCTACCACAAAAGATTTTTATTTCATTTGGATATTCACTTTTACAAATTATTTTTTCTAATAATCATCTTCTTATTGGCTACATACGTCTCTTCAGAGAAATATTTATTATTATTATTTTTAATTTTGACATTTGATTCTCTCTATTGCATGGCACTGTAGGATAAGAACTGGAGCACTAGGTTGGATTGAACTGCAAGGCTGGCAGTTCATAACTCACCAGCGACTCTTTGAAAACCCTATGCAGGGTCACTATGAGTCAGAAGCAACTTGACAGCATGTATAAATAAAATCATCCCTTCTTCTATAAAACATTTTTATTAGATTATTCAATAAAGGGCTAATTTTTCCCTAACATTGATACCATAATCATCCAAGTGAACTGTAATAGTACCATGTTTTACTTATTTAAAATATTCTATGTAATTTACATTATTCACATATGATATTATGAGCATAATTCCCATTGTAGTTATGCAAGTGGGAAAATTATATTAAAAAGTTTCAAATGCAATAATATGGCTACTGAAAGGAAAATGAATTTATTAATCTCTGAAGACATAAGTGGAAAGGCATACATTCAAAGTTTGTGTGCTCAGATGGCAGATTGTGTTTTCTCTGTCATGACTTTGGAATCTACCAGTCTCACTGTTGCCCAACAGAATAATCTATGTTCCTAGTTGAGAGTGACAATTCACTTATTTCATTCATTGTAATTGTTTGAATACTGTAGGAACCACATGAACCTTGTGTTTGGGAACACTGGTATATGACAGTGGTCCAGAACAGAAGCACAACTCCATTAATTGTCTACTTATTGATTACTTAAAATGCTTTCTTGAGGAGACAATTATTTAAGGGGAGATATATTTATATTTTAAGTTTTATTTGTTTTTCATGATTTGAATTTTCCAATAATAATCATTTTCTTAACACAAATATATATTTCAATATCTTAGAACTTACTTGAAAATATTGTTGATTATTGATTGACTGATTCATGCATTCATATTTCACAATTAATCTCCAGAGTTCTGTAAATTAAAAATAATAGACTTTGATTGGCAAAATGGCAGGATCAATGGGCTCAAGCATGGCAACAATACTGAGGTTGGCCCAGGTTCAAGCAGTGTTTCATTCTGCTGTGCATAAGGTCACTATGAGTCGGTACTGACTCGATGGCACCTAATAACAAAAACAAAAACAATTATGAAATAAGATAAGTATATATCATTTGTGGTAATAAGTGTTTATGTAATTATGCTTACAACTAACAAAATGAAGTATTTTGAATATTCTTTTTTATTTTGGATATGCAGACTTTCCATAAAACCTGTACATACTTCAATACCCAAATAATGTGAGGCCTATCCAAATGGTTCACCGAGTTATTCTTGTTCTTATGGCTATTTGATATGAACCTGCTTATTGAGAGATATTTATAACATTGTAAGAGAGATTTGTTGAAAAATGACTATTCAGTATTTATAAATAGCTGTGGTATGGCATTGCAGGAAAAGCACTTGACCGTAGATCTGTTTGAAGCACAAGGTCGGGTTCAAATTCACCACCCTCTCCTCGCAAACCCTACACAGGGTCACTATGGGCTACAAACTACTAGACAGCAATTAACAACAACAATATTTTATTTATAACAGCTTCTTTCTGAAGGTTGATATATCAGTATTTATCTTGTCAATATCAGAGTTCTATTACCATGATATAGAAATGCAATAGGCTTCTATGTTTTGAATGTATAGTAAAAACTTATACTCTCTAATCAGTTTTAGGTTTCTACTTAAAATTTATACATCAGTATAGCAGAACTAAACTTCCTGGCCTTTAAGGGGAGATAGGTTTTGTATTCTGACTGACATTTACTTATTATGCAGTTCTGTGGGCATCTTTAGACATCTGTGTCCTTATCTATAAAAACTTGTAATAATAATTGCATTATTAATTTCACATTTGCATTAAAAATATTTAAAATAGGGAGAAACAAAATGATAGCTATGTTGAAGAAAATGAATGAGGATTACCAGTCACTGACAAGAGTACTAAGTGTGTGATTCCTTTATCACTTACATTTAAAAATTTTATATCATTAGTCCAAATTTTAAATAAGTAAACAAAAAACAAATGGGATACATCATACTCTGTTTTGTTTTGTTGTTGTTGTTGTTTGCTGTCAAAATGAATATAACAATATAAAATGTTCTAAACTGGTTTAGCATAGAACTGCGAGTATAGAACTGTTCCATAGAGTTTTCTTGATTGTATTCTCTATGGGAACTCCTGATGTGGCAGTGTGGGATAAGCACTGGATGGCAAACCACAAGATCAGCAGTTCAAACCCACTAATTAGTTATTTATTGGAAACCCTATAAAGGTCGCTATGAGTTGAACTGACTCATAGTCACTTAACTACAACAGCATATAAATATGTGGATTCCTAGTGTGGACTGCAGGATAACCATTGGATTGCAAGGTTGGTTTGAACTGTGAGGTCAGTGGTTCAAACTCACCTGCCGCTTCTCAGAAACCCTACACAGGGTCACTGTGAGTTGGAACTGACTCAACAACACTTAACAATAACAGCAAACTGATTTCAGTAGAATTTGAAAAGCTTACATCATTTTCTGATCTACAAATTGGCAGGTGGACATGGTATATGAGTCACTGGAGAATTCTCCATAGATGACTAGGATATTACATGGTCCCTCAACACTCAAAATGTACAATCAAATTATTCTTTGAATTTTTTACAGAGAATTGGATTTCCAAGCTCAAATTTGGAAGATATATTTGTATCACTGATATATTTATTCACTTACCTACACATCCATCAACTTTTTATTTATTATTTTCCAATCTTCAAAATATTACAAGGTAAATTATATTCAAACAATGGGAGCATTCATAGTGGTAACTCTATTCAAGGAATCATAAGCAAATGTTTACATATTGTCATAATATGTTACTAGAACATCTTGGAACTACATTTTAAGGAAAAATGGTGGTCCTTGAATTATAATTTAAGCAAAAATAACTGTATTTTTAAAGCAAGTATGGAGAGCAGGGAGCATGGTGGCTTCATAGGATATGTATGGTACCTTCATAGGACTGCAAACCACAAAGTCAGCAGTTCTAACCCACTAGCTACTCCATGGTGGAAGATGAGGTTTTCTGCTCCTGCAAAGATTTACAGCCTCAGAAACCCTATACAGGGTCACTGTGAATCAGAACCCATATTATGGCACTCAACAATAACAGTCATTTAATCACTCTGAACAACCAGACTGTAAATCTGAGTGCTTTGGCAATGAAAACAGAAATTAAACAACTAGCTGACAATCAATAATACAGAACCCTGATAGTATAGTGGATTATGAGCTTGACTACTAACCATAGGTCAGCAGTTCCAATTTTCCTACCATTCCATGGGAGGAAGATTAGACTTTTTGCTCCCATAAAGATTTACTGTCTGAAATCTTATATAGCGTAACTGCATGTAGGAACTAACTAGATGACACATAACCACCATCACCACCATCAATAACACAGACAAATTATTATTTCTAGTTTTTTTTTTTGGGGGGGGGCTGGTAAAACAAAGTTCATCCGAATTAATATTTTAGTAAAAATGAAAGCTGTCTAACTACACTGACGCTACGGGCAATATGCAGAACAATTCATGCACTGGTGTTTTTGGCATCAGTAAGGTATGATATTATCATCTGCTCTCTGAGTTTTCATGAATTATCAGTTATAATGGAGTCCTAGTGTGGTGCTGTGGGTTAATGTGCTAGACTGCAAAGATGGTTTGACCTGCAAGGTTGGCAGTAAAAACTCACCAACCAGTCCTTGGAAACCTTATACAGGGTCATTATGGGTCAGAATTGACTCGACAGCACTTAACAAAAACACCATCAGTTATAGTAACATTGAGTTTTTAAATGTAATAAATAAAAATAATTCTATGCTGTGAATATATTCCTATTCGATTGTTTCTGTTTTAATCTTATTTACATTTTCTCTCATAATTCATTGAGCAGTATAGGATAGAAGTGAAGCTGGTAACTCAAGGAGTGACAGTGAAAAGGTAGAAAAAAAAGCTAAAAAACCAAATGAATAACAACAAATACTCACAAATTGTCATTTCTCCTACTGCATAGGCAACCCAGGATTTCTGGTACGGGTACAAAGATGTTTTAAGTGCAGACAATGATGAGTGGACATATTTTTTTAAATGACTGAGATCCTGATTGGAATCATTCTGTTTTATAACAATGCTGATAGCACTAGAGGAAACCCCTGGGAATAGAGTCATTGGCATTCAATAATAGCCAGTGCCCAGGGGTAATTTCAAGTATGTAATTGGCTGTAGATGGAAAGTGGGAGTCCTGGTGTGG